GGAGAGCCCGTCGGCTGGGTGGCGTGACACCGGGAGACACACCATTCTGAAGCAAAACAAACGTCCATAACATCCAGGACGTGGGACTTGTCTCTGTGCCTCTCTCCCTCCATCTTACCCGGACAACACGTCGAGCAGGCCGTTGTCGCGCGTGCGCCACTGCTGCAGCTCGGCTTTGATCCCTCCGGCACCCCCGAAGGCGGTGGAGAAGTGAATCGGGTTGCCCTCGTCGTTGCCTGGCCGCCCCGTGAAGTGAATGAGCTGGCGACACACCTTGACGAGCACCGCATTGCTCGGGCAGGCAAGAGGGAAGAAGTACTCTTGGCTGTGCTTGCCGGTGGTCAGCTCTATGGCCACGATGCCGGCCTGGAAGACATCCCTCTGCCTCTCGTCATAGGCTGGGAAGAGGCCGCAACCTGAATGCATTGGTGCAGATAACAGACTGGTGTCGGCCCGGGGGTTGCTTGGGGGCTAGAAGACGCTATGAAATAGCGCTTACTCGATGCTGATTGACCTGTCGATGAGAGACAATCAAAATTGAGTGACGACAAGCACACGAATCAAGTCGACCTGATGTCACGCACACCGCACGGCACCTAGTCAACGGAGGTAGGGGTCGATGGCACACTGCCACACACGCACGAATCCCAAAACACGCAAATGTACACGTCTCAAAGCAAGGCAATGTCAGTTGTATCCCTGTACCCGTTCTTCCGTCTTTGTTCACTACGCGTGGAGGCGTCAATCAGAAGGAGGCACGAGACACAAGGGGGCTGGTGTGATAGAGCCGTCAACCAACAAGCCCGCCGAGCGATGTATTGATGACCTCACGACCAAGAGACCTCGCCGGGGGGGGGGGTGATGTCTCCGGAGGGAGCGGCTCTTGCGGTCTTGACGGCGAGCGTTGAAGTACCTCGGGGGCAGGGGAGGAGGCTTGGATGCTTGTTTGTTGAAGACAAGAAGAGAATCGAGAGCGATGTTTTTGTTGATACCAGATGAAGCGGAATGGGCAGAAATGACGACCTGATCATACCCATGGGAATGATCATCATACCCATGGGAATGATAGCCTGGCCGGCCAGTTATTTTCCTCGGCCAGAAACACGATGCTGGCTAACAACAAAGGAGGCCTCCCTCCCTTTTCCAGCGAAGCATCATCTACGGCCTTATTTCAGGCCCCCTCTTCTTCTTCTTCTTCTCACTGATGGGATCCTTGGGTGCTGCGAAGGAGAAGGACATCTCTCAGGCGTCACGTAGCACGGGGTTGATCAGGGCGTAGGGAACGCGATAAAATAGCGTTGACTCGGATTGACTGGCGGGGGGAGAGACTGGGTGGGTGGATGTGGAAAAGACAGTCGGGGGTCCGGAGAGCCTCGATCGAGAGCAAAATTGACGTCGAAGGGAGATAAGAAGATTGAGGTTGGATGGAACGCATGACCAAGCGAGCAGGAAAAATGCCGCCAGATTCTTCTCTCCCATGTCCCGTGGGACATGGGCTTTGAAACCCCGTGGGGGGAATCTTTTTGAATCTTGGCCAGCCAGTGATTGCCTAGGCCAGAAACACGCCGGGTGTCGCACATACGTCCAGACGAAGAGACTCAGACCACTCAATGACCACACAGCTGCATTGCATTCATGGGGGGTTCGTGCACATGAATGGTGACGCACACACCAACATGGCCACTGTCTCATCTCGTGTCGCTCGCGTGTCAGATGGCGAGGGGTTTCTGTAGAGTGGAAGGCCGGTCTGTGTACCGCGCTTTCCCCTCCGCACAAACCCGACGCACATGGGACACACGAACCTATGCAGACAGACAGCCGCACCGTCCGCAAGATGCCATCCATCCGTCCAGAAAGAGGACATGGACCACACATTAGTTATGATACAAACACGTACACGATGACATACATTCACACATCGATGAGCACCACCGCGTTGACCCCCATGCACACACAGCAGCAGGGAGGGAGACAGGGGGGCAAGGCATGGAAAGAGAGAGGAGCAAATCAGACAACAACACTACGATGTTAACACATAAAAAACGAAAAGTCAGTCCACAGACAGACAGGCCGTCGTGGACATGTCATGTGTGCCCCACTGCTTCCTTCCCCCTCCCACAAAACACACACACACACACACACACACACGTGTTTGCAACACTCATCAATTAATCTCGTACGTATCACTTCGCTCGTGTCTGCGTGACGAGTTTGTCTGGCCTGTCCTCATGCCGCAACGGGGTAGAGAGGTGTGAACCTCCACCCAGGTGCAGCACAAATACAAAGGTGACACGCTCGTCACAGCAGGAGAGGCAAAGTCGTCCACCAGGTCGATTGAAGGCAACTGACTAGCTGCACTCAAGTCATCCATTCTGTGCTGTCTGACAGGCATATCATCTACCTACGCACTCACTGCTCTATGTTACACACACGACAGCAGCTGCCACGTCAGGGTGGGTGTGGGAGATCGGGCGCCACACACACACGCAGACACACACACACAGCACAAGTAGTTAGTTTACATGAAAGAATGAAGCGAGACGAGACGAGAAGAGCGTATGCCACACACAGAGACTGAGAAAGTGTCGGAGAGAGATATGAAGAGGAGGAGAACGGCCGCCCACCATACATACACACACACCCAGGCGGAGAAAAACACTGACTCAGACCCCCCCCCCCCCCCCCCCCCCCC